GCAATAACCACAACAACATCGGCATGATCATGAACTTTCGGAAGTCCGCGTGGCTTTCTTGGATCGGCACTGGGCCCCCTTCGATGCGCTGGGCATCTTTCCCTGGCGCGCGGAATGCGGCAGGGGCGGCGCTGGAAACGCATCCAAGGGGATTCAGCGCCGATCAGAGCAACCCGCGCGGACATCCGAAAGCTTATGCTCATGCGAATTTCTCGTTGCCCCCTCCCCAACGCCGCGCTTTCAGGCAGCGGCGCTCGGAGCCGCTTCGCTCAGCGCCTCGGCAGGGGCGGCCCTGTGGCCCAGCAGCATATACGTGCGTTCGTATGCACCGTGGCAGTACTTGCAGCAGCTGCGCCACTTGCTGGCGGCGCGCAGAAGGGGACAGCGGCGGGGCGGGCGGCCTTCTGAAGAAGTCGCGCTGCCCCTCGCAAGGCCATCCTTCCTGTACTCGTGTCTTCCGGGAAACCCTCTTCGAGGCCTCCGATCCGAAAAGAGCCGGTCTCGCCTGTAAGGGCCACTGCCGTGTCGGAAGGCAGCCCCGCTCGCCCCGCCCATGTCTCCGCGCCGTCTGCGCGCCGCAAGCGCTGGACCGTCAGAGTTGGATCCATTTCTTTTTTGTCAGTTTGTCTTCATCAGTCCCTCTCTTTCCTTCGTAGGTATATATGATTCATTTCTCCATGTATGTATATATATATATAAATGTATATATATTCCCCTATGGTTTATATTTTGAATAATACTGCGAATATTGCTCGTATCATGTCATGCTGTTTCCCTTCCCTTTCTCTCGCTCTCTGTCTCTGCTTCCTTCGCTCACACACTACATTTTGGGCACCGACAGAGAGAGTGAAAGAGAGAAATAAAACAAAACAGATAAAGGAACACATAAAAACGAGCAGTGCGACGCGTATGCTGGTAATGGTGGTGATGGTGATAAAGATGACAAAGACGATGCTGCTGATGCTAATGGTGATAGTGAAATTGATGACGGCGATGATCAGATCAGAGCAAAACCATGGGGGGGGGCGCCATAAGACCGGGCTACACCCGAACGCCACTTTGTGGTGCGCGGCCAAAGCACCGTCGAGCCTTGCGCAGAACTGGGCTGCGTAGCTGCCGCGGTGCGGTGCCCCCCACAACCCGGAGCTTCACCCATGTCGGATTGCATCCTGCGCGGAGAAAACCCGAGAGGCTCGAGATGCTCCAACAGCCACCTGCGCTCTACTTCTTCTGTCAATCATCGGTCACCGTGGTCAGAATTGGCACCGGAGGGTCCAGGGCCTGCTGAGGCTCGCGGGCCACGGGCGTGACCGAAACCCTGCTTCGCTTGCTGCGCCCCTCGAGACCTTCGCTCGCGGAACGATCTGGTCTGGGCACTCCTACCACCACCTGGCCCACAATACTTCCCTGAAGCTGCAAATGAAGAAACGGGCTCCCGCTCCCAGATTGCGAAGCAACTCAAAGAGAATGGCTGGCTGCGAGAAGGCGACGCAGGAGTTCGGAGTCAGGGGAGGGGTTGTGGCGCGCGGTGAGAGGGGCGCGGGCGCAAGCTGACTCGCGGCGCGGCTCAAGGACTGCGCCGCCAGCTCGAGCGCGAGTCTCTTCTCAGCAAACGTCTCACTCGGTCCATCATGGTCCCATCGAGCTCCTGCAGCTGCGCTTGCGCGACTCACTCAAAGTGTGACGTAAGCGCCACACCATGCTTACATCCCTCCCCCGCCTGGACCAGCGCCTCCAGCGCGGACGCCATGTTGCGGCAATTGCTGAAGGCCAGAACGACGTTCGCCCCCCCCTTCCTCGTGGCAGTCGCTGACCTTCGCCATGGGAACGAGCTCGCCCATCTCGGCTACTGAGAGCTTCTCCATTTCTTTGCCGACCTCCTGCAGCTTCGCCACGCCGGCTCGACCCACCGCTGCGCCATCGCCCACGAGCCCCTCGTAGATGCCCGCGAAACACGACACCATGATCGCCCCCATCGCCGAGATCTCCGCCTCCGCCTCCGACTTGCTGCGCGTCTGTCGCATCTTCCCAGTCTCTTTGATCCATGCCTTCGCCCTGCCCCGCATTTTCGCCGCGAGCTTGAGTCCCAGCGACGTGATGAATGTCTTCAGCCCGATCGCTTCCATCAGTCGCTGCCTTTTCGTAGCGTTGAGCAGCGGCCACGTCGTCGCACTGCGCGTCGCACTCGTCCCAGCCGAGGTCCGCGAGGTTGAATAGCTTCGGGCCCCCTCCAACTGCCACCCGATTTTGCTGAGGCCGTTCCTGCGCGGCCGCGTCGGGCTGCCGCGCCTCGTCTTCTTCCGCGCCCAAGCTCGTCCTCCGTTTGCCGCGATGCCACGGGTGGCGCCGACAGCCGCGACAGCTGGTCGAGGTACAGTCATCGATACGGGGCAGGAGCTTAGGAAGGTCCGCGAACTCTGCCGCGCACACCAACTCTGGGCCAAGAATGTGCTGCGGAGTGAAGACGGAGCAATTGAAAGTCGACTTCTGGGACACACATCCGCCCTGTTTGCACGCTGCAGTAGCATGTGTGATGGATGCCGCAAAGCCGCCGATCGGGCGCGTGAGTCAAGAAAGGCCCGAGCTTCAACTCAGCGCTGCTGGGGGGGGGGGGGCAAGGTGGCTCTGCCAAGGGAAGGCAGGGGGGGCCGGGGTGGGGGCGCGCTCAATTCCCCCGGCCCTGGGCCCCGGGGCGATCCATCTGATTGATTTACCCATCCCGAATATTTGGGGGAGGGTCTCAAGGACCTCCCTAGATCTAGCCTGGGGGCCCCCCCGTGATCCCCCCCGGAACCAACCCCGGGACCCCTCCCATGCAGGCCCCCCTCCCGAGGGGCACGAGCGCCCCGGATCGGCGGCACTTGCCGGAGGCCACTCAAATACGAATCAACATGATGGGCGCTGGTTCGTGACTGTGCGTATTTCATGGTCATGTTGAGCTGCCCGTGCTCCGCTCCGCCACTGTGCATTCGATGTGATTAGAGTGCGCGCGCGGTGCAAAACCTCCTCCCGCTCCCGAAACCCGCCCATTGATGAGCGGGCGCGGGTGGCCACCCCGCGGCACTCCTGATTCTCGCGCTGCCTAATCGGGGTGGTCGGCCGCGTCACCGACGGGCGCCCGAAGCGCATGCGGTGCCGGTGGCGCTGGCAAGGCCTGCGGCGCCCGCGGCGCCCGCAACGCCCCCAGCGGCGCCCGCGGCGCCAGCGCCCCGTCGGCCGCCGCCACCGCCAGCGAGGCCCCGTCAGCGGCGGCAACAGCGGCGGCTACGGCTGCAGGGCCAGAGGGCGCTGCGGCGGCCGAGGCCGCAGCCGCAACGCCAGTGGCGGCGGCGGCGGCGGCAGTCGCGGCGCCAGCGGCACGGCCGACGGCGGCGCGCCGCTGCCGCCGCCGCGGCGCCGCAGCGGTCTCCACCCGCGCTGGGCCGGAGCCCGCGCCTGAGCAAGGGGCATGCTCGAGCCCTGACGGCTTGAGCCAAAGGCCTGCCAAATGGCTACGGACACACACACCCACACGCACACACGCACGCACGCACGCACGCACGCACGCACGCACGCACGCACGCACGCACGCACGCACGCACGCACACACACACACACACACACATACACGCGTATACACACGCACACACACGCAAACACACACCCACCCACCCACCGCCCCACCCACCCACCCACCCACCCACCCACACCCACACCCCCACCCACACACCCACACACCCACACACACACACACACACGGTTGTATCACCTCCGCGGGGATGGGGGGGTAGCGTGAGGGCGGGGGATGGGGAAGGGCCTGGGTGAGGACAACAAAGCTGCTGACATTGTTCAAACCCCGCCCTTGGCCCTGAGCGTACAGACCAGATTACGTGGTATTTTGCTCCTACCAGATACATCCAGATCCCCACAAGACGCGGCTGGAATGGACGACGGGAACCGGTTGGCGAATCTCAAGAGACGTCGTGAAGAGTAAAACCCCATCGTGTGGGGCCATTACTCGAGCGGGGAGTCCGTTGCAATCAGAAGCCCTGACGGACAGGCCGAGCGGGCGGGCCCCAACCTGCTGGGCGGGCAGGCGGATCGGGCCGGGCGCTTCGAGGCTCGATGCGTCGCGTTGGAGACGAGCTCGTACGACCCTGTCGCGTAGGGCCTCATGTCAAAACCGTTTCCAATATGCATGGCGATCGGGGTCAACGGGGGGCCTTGCGATGCGTCAATTCATGCAGTGCGCGTCGCTTGTAAGATGCTATAGGGGGCGAGTGTCCCCACGCGGCACGCGTTCGTGACATAATCCAGGGGCTTCATAACAAGCATGGTGTTCTGCAGACGCTGAGTCACACTGGTAACAGACCAACGTTTCGATGGGATCCTGACCTGCGCACAGAAAACACAGCATACCTGATCTGAATACCTAATTTCTGAGTTAGCAGATACAGCATATCACGCAGCAATTACATGGTCGTCTTTGGCCGATGTGGCATGTTAGCGCGAGTGTAGCCCGCATGATTCCCCAATCAGAGCTTGCCTCTGTAGGAATCCAAATGGATTCATGAAGTATGGCGCCGATGTCGGCGGCACGCCCGGGTGCCCGGGTGCCTGGGTGCCCAGGTGCCCAGGTGCCCGGTAGCTATAGCCCTGTAGCCTTACAGCCTTATAGCCCTATAGCCCAAATAGCCCTATAACCCTATAGCCCAATAGCCCTATAACCCTATAGCCCTGTAGCCCTATAGCCTTATAACCATATAGCCTTATAGCCTTATAGCCCTGTAGCCCTATAGCCCTATAGCCCTAGAAGCCTATAGCCCTATAGCCCTATAGCCCCAGAGCCCTACAGCCCCAGAGCCTTATAACCCTATAGCCCTATAGCCCCATAGCCCTATAGCCCTTAAACGGCGATTATTGTTTTTCTCTGGATTCATATTAATTGGTGGCGTCTCTTACCAGAGCCAGTTGTCAGATCAACGCATGCGCACCGCATAGTCATGTTTACACACATGGTGCCAGATTCAGCACGCGCGCGTAAACATGAAATGAGCGTGGACAACATAATATTAGGTGATCCGAAAAATGGCCCGGCCCAGATCTGGCCTGGTGGGGTTTGAGACCACGGGTAAAATCAAAATAGCAATGTTTGAGGGGGAGGATGACCAGGAGGAAAATTACGAGGATGAGCAGATTGGACTGTACCTGGTGATATTGTTGATGGCTATACTGAGGAAGAGGAAAGAGACATGAGAACAAATTCCAGCCGCACATACCTATCTCAATTACCTCCAGCCCAGGAGGACGAGGTCCAAGGACGCTTCCAGCCGTCGTCCGCCGCTTCTACGGCACGGCCGCTCAAAGCTAACAGGCGCGATCTTGAACACACACCGCGCGCCCATGGTCACACGGTGTGCAGCGGGGGAGGCTGAAAAAACGACGCAAGCGGGCTGCCCTGAACACAGCGGGGGCAGTGATGGAGTCCCGGCCCTGCCACTGTGCCCTTGGCAGGGGTCCCCCCCTGAGGACAATTCCTTCCCTCAGCTTATCCCCTCCTCCTCCTCCTCCTCCTCCTCCTCCTCCTCCTCCTCCTCCTCCTCCTCCTCCTCCTCCTCCTCCTCCTCTCCCCCTCCAATCCATCATCCGTTCGTCCGCCCTTCCCGCCGTCCGTCCATCCATCCATTCCCTACTTCCCTGGCTCTTCCTCCCTCCTTCACTTGCTCTTGGTGAGCAGGGGGGATTGTGAGGATGAGGACGGTCATGATGATGAGGATGAGGATGAGGAGGAAATAGTATGAAGATGAGGAGGGGGAGAAGGAGGAGGATGGCGAAGAGGAGGAGGAGGAGGAGGAGGAGGAGGAGGAGGAGGAGGAGAGGGATGAAGAGGAGGGGTTAGAAGGGGAAGGAGGATGAACATGAGGATAATAATAAGAATGGGGATGAGCGTTACCTCCCCTCCTCGTCTTGTCTCTCCTCCCCCCTCCCTTCCTCCTCCACTCCCGAACTCTCGCTCCACATTATGCTCTCAACATGAATACTACTCCCCTCTCTCCCCTCGAAAATGACCTGAGTCAGTCGCGCGACCCCCTCAATGCATTGATTTTGCACAGGATGGGTCCGAGCTGGTTTTCCCGATTCCCAAAAAGAATGCTTGCACTGAGTGGCTCTTATTTCCCTCGCTAACGACTTGGTGGGGTACGGCAAAGTTTCGCCACGTCGCCGCCCGTGGCTGTCTCGTGGCCGCTTCGTTGGCGCCCACTTCGGGGGTCTGCTGAGGTTTCGCCGCGTCGCCGCCCGCGGCCGTCGCCGCCCGCTTGGGGGCTCCGCCGAGGTCCCGCCGCGTCGCCGCCCCTGGCCGCCTCGGGGCCGCCCCGCTGCCGCCCACGCTTGGGGGCTCCGCCGAGGCCTCGCCGCGTCGCCGCCGCGTGGCCGCCCCGTGGCCGCCTCGCTGACTCCCGCTTGTGGGGCCCGCTGAGGTCTCGCCGCGTCGCCGCCCGTGGCCGCCTCCGGGCCACTTGGAGGGTCGGCCTCGTAGCTTTCGCCACATAGCTCACGCTACGCAGCTTACACAGCACAGCTCAGGCCACACAGCTCACACCACATAGATAAACGCGGCAGTAGCTTAAACCCCTGGCTTACAACACATAGCTCAGGGAACGTGGCTCACACCGCATTGCTTACACAACAAAGCAGACACCACATACCATACATCGCTAGCCTCGATACCATACCTCACACTACATTGCTCACACGACAGACCTTTCACAACATAGCGTACCCAACTTCACACCGCATAGCTTGTGACACATAGCTCCCACCTCCAGTGCAATAACTCCCTGTCTGGGGTCCACGCTAGGCGACATGTGTTTTTGCTGCCCAATCCGAACGCTCTCTGTCCTTCCAAAACGGTGCTCTCGATGCAGCGTGGGCCTCTGTTTAGGATCGGGGATTTGCTCCCGTCGTTCAAGTGGCTCTCACGCCCTAGCGTGAGCCACTTTTCTGGATCTTAGTCCTTCCTCATCGTTGTCGCCCCCCTCCTTTCCCCTCCTCCGCCTTCCCCTGCTCCTCCTGCTCCTCCTGCTCCTCCCGCTCCTTCCAATGTAGTTCCTGCTGCTGTTAGTCATCGTCCTCCTCCTTCCTCACCCTCCTCCTTTTCCTCCTTTTCATCCTCTTGCTAATCCGCCATCTCCTCCTCCTCCTCCTCTTCCGGCTCGCGTCCGCAGATGGAGAAACACCAGCGCCATGGGAAGGGATGGGTGGGAGGGGTAGGATGCCAGGTATAGCGCGAGCGCACCTAGCTTGCCTCCCCCATCCCCTCTCGCCCACGCCCCTCCCTCCCCTCGCCCCCCTCTTCGGACATCTCTCCCTAGCCACAGGCGTGGAGGCTGCCGCGGGCCAGCAAAATACGTGCCAACGGCAGCTCTGACCAAACAAGGCGTACCCGGAGGTAGTCAGCATGGACCTCGCGCCTTTGACAGCTGCGGAGGCGGGGACAGCGCGGGCTCGATCCGGGAACCC